ATTGGACAATACATCAACCTACAATAATGAAGGAATTTGATTGGTTGAGATAGGTGAACAAAGTTAACACAAAATGAATGGTTATCATTTGATCTTGGCCCTATATCTATATATATCTATATATATATATATATCTATATATATATATCTATATATATATCGTCGCGTTTGGTAAGAACACCTTTAGCTAGTAGTATACCCACCATATAGGCATATATAATGGTTAAATTCCATGAAGGTGTTAATAGTGCATCCAATCCAACACTTAAAAATGGTGGTGGAAAGCTAATCAAAGCTTTTTTGACTTCCACCTTGTGATGTGGATGCATCACATATGACCACAAAAACCATTTGTTGTATCGAGACTTATCCATCTTTTGATTCCTATACGAACATAAGCTGATCAAGTTTGAGACGAGTAAGTAGCAACTACAACTTAATTACCATCTTGTTCCAAACAGGAACAGAAGTGCTTAATTAATCCCATACAGCCATAACCTAATAAGCTGGAACATATATATATATATATATATATATATATATGTTAATTTACATCTACCGACAGAACACAAAGATTATATACAAAACCAGAAAGCTAAAAAAGAAAGAAAAGAGTACTAATGGATTCAAGTGAAAGTTATAAGTACATATTCGTAGTTGGGTGAAGCTAGTTTGTGAAATAGCAGTAGCAGTAGCAGTAGCAGACACAATTGAGCCAAAGTACTTTATCTTTGGTGAGCACAAGCTAAAATCTTGTATTCATTATGCTCTCAATCATATCTCTTGGTTGCCTAACCCGCATGCTCCTTCCCCCACCCTTTCTCTCTCTATAACTCCACCCCTATATAATCCATCTCCACCCCCACTCCTCTCTTCTAACTCATCCACCATTCCAAACACCTTAACCTACTCTACTAGTACTCTCCCATGGCGGTTTCCGGTTTCGAAGGCTTTGAAAAGCGCCTGGAGCTTCAGTTCTCCAGCCATGATCCGGTCATCGGGATTGGCCTCCGGCAGCTGGACTTCGAGTCTGTTGAGCAAGTTCTTCAGGAAGTACAATGCACAGTTGTTTCTGCACTTGGAAACCAACACTTTGATTCCTATGTTCTTTCGGAATCGTCACTTTTTGTTTACCCTACCAAGATCATCATCAAAACCTGTGGCACCACCCAACTTTTGAAATCGGTTCGACCCTTTATCCATCATGCCACCACCCTCAACCTCCATATCATGGAGCTCCGGTATACCCGTGGAAGCTTCATCTTCCCACAAGCTCAACCCCATCCTCACACAAGCTCCCAAGAAGAAGTTGTGTATTTGGAAGATAACATACCCTCAAGCCTGTGTTACAGAAAGGCTTCTGTCATTCCTTCCAATCTCACTTCCCACTCATGGCATGTGTTTTCCGCCGGAGCTGTTGAATATTCCGATAACCTGCACCCACTGGATTTATACACCGTCGAGGTGTGCATGACGGATCTTGACCAAACCCTAGCCCGCAAGTTTTTCCGGAATCCAAACGACGGAAAAAATGGCGACTCAGCTGGAAGAGAGATGACGGAGATAACCGGAATCAACCGGATTAACCTGAATGCGCAGATATGTGATTTTGCTTTCGACCCATGTGGCTACTCCATGAACGGAATCGACGGCGACCGTTACTCGACTATTCACGTGACGCCGGAGGATGGTTTCAGCTACGCAAGCTTCGAGTGCGTTGGATCCATTTACAACGATGACATGGCCGACATGGTGAAGAAGGCCGTCAAAGTGTTCGGGCCAGGAACGGTGTCGGTGGCCACCACCGCCGCCAGCCACGACATGTGTACACGTATCAAGGCTGCAGTGGAGCAACTTGGAATGAAATGCCGGAGTTACAGTATGGATGAGTTCCCTGCCGCCGGGACGGTGGTGTTTCAAACGTTCACAACTCGCCGGAATAGAATATAATAGAAAAATATTATAAACATCGAGAGGGGAAGGGGGGGGGGGGAATGGGTGCATGCATGATGACCATGAGGATGATGTGATGATGTTGCATGAGTGATACCAATGTGCATGTCATAGGATGGTGGGGTTGACTTGTGTAGAAAGATATATTAAATCCAAAAAAAATGGAAAAAAAAACTTAGAAAGGTGAGGGTGAGGATCTTGAAATGGCAAAATTAGAGGGGGATATGATGGTGTGTGTGTTTATGTACATCATGATCATAATGTACCCACTTTGGTTTGTCACGCCTAAGGTTTTGAGGATATGTGTTTTCAAGTGGAAAATATTTCGTTCTTCAATCATATTTTTTTTATCGGGTTGGTTTTTATTGTGCGTTTAATAAAAAATCTATCAATCAGATATTCGTATTCTGAAAACTGTAACGATTGGTATACGTTTATCAATCGTAACCATAATTCGATATTGACGTGAACATGTGTATTTACTATTTAGTAATGTTACGTTCGAAACTTTTCATTGAAATGAAAAGGGTATACAGTAAAAAAACGTGCCTTAGACATTTAGATAATGATCAAGTAAATTCGTTAAAGTATTTGTCAAATCAAACTCTGTTTTGTCGCATCATAAAATAGTATCTCGGGTTAAAACTAGAAAGCGTTAATAATGTTGGGTATATGTAAAATTCACAATATTTGACATTAGATTAATCTTTTTTTTTTATTAACCTGGATATCCAATCCGTTATGGGAGCCGACTAATCTTAGGACAACCACTTGTTTTGCAGATAGTCCGGAGTCACCGCATTTGAATCTTCGTGGCTATAAAGAGATTCTTATTCCTCTTTGGATTTGAACTTGAAACTTCTTGATACTTTTGACCTTTAAAACTAATCTCAAACCAATCAGCAATTGTGATTGATTAATGTTAATTATTAGAAAACTTGTGATATTAATTTGGGTGATTCCAATTAATAATCACATACCAATTATGTAGCGGCACGTAATAGAAACAAATTTTATAATAAAGGTCATGATATATAATTAATTAAGTCGATCTAAATACTATACGCATGCATATGCACGAGGGTGACAAGACATAGGCGGCATCATATTATATATATACATACATATATATATATATATAGATATATATATATATATATATATAGATAGATCGATGTTAGACTCGTAAGATCAATTCTTAACCCTTGGATTAGATCTACAATCTGAACATTCATAATCACAAAATTGCCACGAGACTTCTCAATAATCACAAAATTATCGTTGTATAACTTTAGACCATTAGATCATTAGCTTATAAAGTTGATCAATGAACATAAATTGGTCTTACGGGTCTCATGAAAAACTCTTGGTCTCACGTGAACCCAACCATACATATATATATATATATACATATACATATCTATATACATAGACTTGGGATCATGTGAGATCAAAGGTTCTTCGTGAGACCCGTAAGACCAATTCTCAATCCTTGGATTAGATCTACAATATGAACATTCATAATCACAAAATTGTCACGAGACTTCTCAATAATCACAAAATTGCCACCATGCAACTTTAGACCATTAGATCTTTAGCTTATAAAGTTGATCAATGAACATAAATTGGTCTTACGAGTCTCACGTGAACCCAACCCTATATGCATATACATATATATATATATATACATATATACATATACATATACATATACATATACATATACATATACATATACATATACATATATATATACATATACATATACATATATATATATATAATATCTTTTCATGCGTCCTATTGAAATGACCATTTTTGTTGTACACCAAAACAGCTTTTAGCCTGGTCTTTTTTCTATATAATCTTGGTTTTTTATCATAGATTCATATATATATATATATATATAAGAAAAGGAGATAATTAATTAATTAATTAAGATGATGATCAGTGATGGATCCAAGAAATTAATAAGGTGAGTGCACGTTACATGGGACTTGAAGGAGACTGAGGGAAAACCATGTAAGATGAGGATGAAAATATAAAATTTAAACTAGTTAACAAAGTTTTTTGGTTTTTGAGTATTAAAGGTTGGATTGATGGTGATGGATTGAGAGGTTGCCACATTTGGGGTTGTAGTTTGGTAACATAATGATGGTTGTTGTAAGTTGTAAATATATTTGAGTGGCAAAAAAGGAGTTTGTAATGTGCCACAAACTAACGACAGAATAAGTGACCTACCTTTGCATGCCAAACTACCATTTCCACCTCACTCCTTTTTCCTTTTTCCATTTTCTTTTTTCTTTTTTTATTATTATAAAAACTACAATAATATTCTCATTTGCAACATATGGGATTGTTTGATTGATTTTTCATTAAGTCATATATGAATTAATTTGTTTCGAACAGTAGTATCAACAACTGTTCGTAACAGTGTTTCTAAATAAATAATATTAATAAAAAAAAGATTGATTTAATATAAAAAGGATGTGGATGAGCATGAGAGAATGTTTGGTTAAAATAATAGCAAGTTTTGGGTGAAGAGCACATGTTGACGTGAAACAAAGCCACGCCGTCTTTTTTAAAAAGGATATCATGAAACTAAATTAAATGTTGTATTTATTTAAACATATAATTATTGAAGCAAAAAAAAGAGTTAGAAAGGAGAACAAGAGTGGTGTGTATGGGGTCCTATGAATGTTTAAAATTCAGACAAATGCCATCCACTTGCATATCAATGTTCCTTCATACCACAGTGGTATTTGATTGGTTTGAAGTTTAGCTCCAAAGATCAAAAATATCTGGAAGTCTTATGTCTAATCTTTTATATATATATATATATATATATATATATATATATATACTAGAAGGGTACTCGTGTAATGTAACAAAATAAATTTTGATTTAATAAATATGAAATATCATAAAATTTTGAAAAAAAATATATATTGATATTAATATCAAACTAACTATTTAAAGTTTCTTATTTTGTGTTTAATTTCTTTAATTCATTTTTTATGTTTGGTTTAATAATATAATTTTTTATAAATATAATAATCAAATATTTTGTTAAAACTCAATGATTATCTTAAGTATATTTCAGATTTTTTATACTTAAAATGAGATTTTATCCTATATATGATCATGTTTATCTGCTATTAGTTATACGAATTTAAACATGGAGCTTTAATAGGTTGTAGTTACGCATAATTTACTTATAATCTTAAATTTTAAGTAATATGTATTAATAAACAATATTTTATGCATAAGAAATAGTTTTTAAAAGTTTTTGTCAAAATGCTTTATAATATAGTGTGTATATATATATATATATATATATATATATATATATATATATATATGAATATAATAACTAATAAAACAACAGTTGAATCACATGTGATTTACACCAAAATCTAAAATTATATGTGTACGCAACAACCTTTCTTTAAAGTTCTATGTCCAAAAAGAACTCATAAACAATAATGTATCCCTAAGATGGGTACTGTTCAATTGGTTTTCATTTCGGAAAAAATGGTGTGTTTGCAGATCCGAGGAGACATCACAGTGGCCATCGACGTGGGTGCAACGACTTTGGTTGATTGAAAAAGCGGAGAGATGAGAGATGGTGGTTAAACTAAATGGAGATTGGCAAATTTTATGGTCGGAATAAAACATATATATGTTTTCTCTTTTAGTATGTCTGTACTACTGATCACTTACAGAATAAAACGGTTTTCAAGGAGAACTATGACCTTAGTTGTAATAAATTATAGTTTTCTCTTAAATACCATTAGATTTTTAGTTGTATTAGCTCAATTCACGTCTTAACCTTATTTTTAACAAATTTGAATGATCTTCGGTAAGAAGATTCAAACCTTTGCATGCCAACACCAAAAACCGATGCTTTAGCACTTGGCTATACTCCATACTGACAAAATCAAGAAGTTGTTTCTGTTTATCTCTGTATATAATATATATTTACCAAAATGAAGGCCGAAATGCCTCTCGAGTTTCGACCCATTTATGCAAACATGGGCTTTAATTTGGGCCTCTTGACCCAACTTTTAAACCCATTTGGACTAAACCAATATAGAGATCAAACATTTCATAAAATTAAAACCCAAAATGGCATCAAATAGTTTACATCGCATTAAGATTAAAATACCGAACCACAAGGGTGGTGCTTGATTAGTTTGAGTTTGACTCTAAAGGTCAAAAGTATCAGGAGATTTCATGTTCAAATCTAAGGAGGAATAAAAATTCCCTTGTGGCCATGAAGGTTCAAATGCGGTGACTCCGGGCTATTTGCAAAGCAGGTGGTCACCTTGGGATTAGTCGGCTCGCATAGTGGGTTGAATATCCAGGTTAATCAAAAAAATAAAATAAAATACCAAGAGAGTATGTTTTACATTTATTTAACCACATATTAAGAGGTGCTCAGTCAAATGATTCTTTTTAAAGAATATACTGAGGCAAAACTGTGTCTAATATCAGTATCAAGCTTTTTGTATAGGGTTATTTGTCAGTTAAAATCTGTTGGATACAAGTTTATAACTGATCTCATCCGATGATTTTGTCAAGTGATCCAACCCAATAAACATTATACAACTGATTTGATCCGATCCACTAAACGATGGATCAAACCAGTCACATCTATTGGATATTATTTTTGTTTTTCTATTATTAGATGAATTGGACCCATAATAGATTATTATTAAATACAACTTTTCGGCCTTAGTTTAACCAATAATTCATGTATTTGTCTCATTTCCTTAAAAATATTAGATACACATCAAATCAAATAAGAAAAAGATCACCCTAAAGTAGCATGCCTTTTCCTGTAGAATTTAAATCAAAATTTTCAATAATTAAGTCCGGACCTTTTTTTGAATGATTAAATCCCTGAATATTTTTGATTAAATAAACCCGATCTATACGTCATTTTAACCCAAAAGAACTACTTATAACTGATTAGAAATGTTCAAAAAACTAAATCGGTTTACCCGTTTTCAAACCTTATACAAATCAAATCCCTTGTGCGTAACATCCTAAAGGGTCTTTGGTCTAACCCTATGTGAGTCTTTGATCTTCTAAGAGATCAGGAGTTCAAACCTCACAAAATGTAAGAAGGATGTGTGAATTTATACGTTCTATATTATTATATCTTTCAAAAAATTACGTTAAATGAAAAATCTTTAAGAACTGTAATTCAAATTAGATGGAAAAACAAAAGAAGTATAATTATTTACAACTAAAATCTAGTTTCAAAGATTTGTTTTGTATGTTTGAGATTTGATTTTGGGGGTTTTCCTTTGCCTTTGTATCATCGATTCGCAGAAATTGTATATGATTTCGTGTTCGTTGGGTTATTCTTCTCTTTGAATGAAGACCAATTTCAAAGACTTCATCGTTGACGAACAACATTCATCCAAAGAAATTTGTACCTTTGAAGGCTTGAAGCCTCTAGGGTTTGTTTTCTGTCGGTAAATTGTCATGCAGATATCCATTCCTAAATCCGATTAGGGTTCTTTGATTCTTTGAGGACTTTCCACGAACAGGTTGTGTGCGTGATTGCTTTGGAAAGTTTGAGCTAATCTGGGACATGGGTTGTGTTTATTGCAAATGTTGTCCCAGACTCCCATCATCTTCTCCATCTGACGGTAAAAAATTCAAGCCCAAAAGGGGGAAAACTGCAGCAGGTGCAGATGAGTTATTAGAAGTTGTTCATATACCTTCACACGATTTCAAGCTCGAGTATTCCGTTCTCACACGTCGTGGGTATTATCCAGACATGCCGAATAAAGAGAATCAAGATTGTTTTTGTATCAAAACCAGTATTCAAGGTAACCCAAATGCCCATTTCTTTGGTGTTTTTGATGGGCATGGTCATTCCGGCAAGAAATGTTCGAATTTCGTCAAGAACCGGCTTCTCGAGCTTCTTTGCAGTGATGATTCGTTGTTGGAAGATCCTGTTAAAGCTTACACTTCAGCCTTCTGCACAACCAATAATGAACTTCATGATAATCCTGAGATTGATGATGTCATGAGTGGTACGACTGCTATAACGGTTCTTGTTATCGGTGATAAGCTTTTCGTGGCAAATGTGGGTGATTCACGAGCTGTGATTTCCGTTAAGGAAGGTGATCATAATCGAATCGTGGCTCAGGATTTGTCTTATGATCAAACACCCTTTAGAAACGATGAATTGGAAAGAGTAAAGGATTGCGGGGCGCGGGTTTTGAGCGTTGATCAGGTTGAAGGGGTAAAAGATCCAAGTATTCAGTCGTGGGGCGATGAAGAGAGTGCGGGTAGTGATCCCCCACGATTATGGGTGCCAAATGGAATGTATCCGGGGACTGCATTTACACGTAGCATAGGTGATAGTTTGGCGGAGAAGATCGGTGTTGTGGCGGTTCCTGAAGTTTGTATGGTTCAGCTCACGGCTAATCATCCGTTTTTTCTACTTGCAAGTGATGGCGTATTCGAGTTTCTATCTAGCCAAGCTGTTGTTGATATGGTACGTTCTTATGAATGACCTTAAGGGCCTATTTATTAGCAACTTAACGAGCTTAATAGGACTTGCAACTTATTTGGTCAACTATACATGATTGTTTGGTAATGGCTTAATAATATAGAAAGTGGCTTATTTAGTAAACTTCTAGGGGGGACTTTATACAGAAAGCCAAGTTTTTTCAAAACTTGTTCTGCTAATTAAAAAATACACCCCTTCCAAACAGAACTTTTCCAATCCACATAGACAGATTAATCCACAAAGACAACATTTCCGGTCCATACAGATAAATTAATGCACAAAGACAACTTTATCCATATAGGACTTAATGGAAAATCAACTAAACCCGCTAAATGAGTTTTTAGTTATCTGACCTGCCCTTGGTTTAAACATGCTCTTGGTTCAAAAGAATTTGTTGATGTTAGTCACACTACAATATACGACCTCTATCTCAAAGAGTAAAACAGTTGTTTTCATATATTTATTTTATGGATTTTATAATCAAATTTCAACTTCAATCATACATATTTGTGTTTATTGTGTAGGTCGACAGATATATCGATCCTCGAAATGCGTGTTGTGCGGTTAGTGCAGAATCATACAAGTTATGGTTAGAGCACGAGAACCGAACAGATGATATAACAATCATCGTTGTACACATTAACGGCTTATCCAATGTAAGAACCGTTGTAAAAGTAATTGAATTTGATGTTAGTATGGTTGCATAACTAACGAATGAGATCCAATTGCAATAGTCAGATGTTAATGATGTCGAGGAAGCCGGTGGAAGTACTCTCCGACCAAGAATGTTAAAATCCGACATCAATCCAGAGGGTGGCGTCGTCATACCTGTTTTGGAGAAACCCGTATCTCCTCCGGGGTCGGAGATGTTCCAATCGGTTGTTTCAGACATTGCTCAAGATCAAAAGGGTGGTGTGATACATTTTTTGCAGAAATCAGACACTTCCGACATGTTCCAATCAGTTGTTTCAGACATAACTCAAGATACAGAGGGTGGCGTCATACCGCCTTTGCAGAAATCACAAGTTACTCCAGAGATGTACCAATCAAATGGAAAAGATTTCTTGGAACCTCGTCCTTTACGGCAGGTTGCATCGACCAATGATCAGAACCCGACTGTCGTACAAGCCAGAGAATAGCGTGCGTGCGTGCCTTGATGGACATTTATACTAACAGGAAAGACCACGAATTTTGTTAAATTATGTGGTACGCCTGGCAGCAACCGAATGGTTGAGGTTATTGCTCAGAGTTGCTATAGGTCAAAGAAAAAATGGAGCTTAACGACATGCTTGAATAATGTTGTTCGAATGAGATGTTTTCTCTATTGTGAACCTGCCGACGGCGTGAGGAATACATTCCGTTCCTAATATAAACAAACAATGCTTTTTATTTTCCGAGCATAAGTATAAGAGAGAATTATGATGAATTTGATTATAACATTGATAGTAGCTTAATGATTTCTTGAAAAGCTCTTTTGAAGAGTAATCTAATAGGGTTCTACATATTCTCAAACAGATGAAATCGAAACGATTGATGTCCATGTTGAAAAGAGAATGGGAGTGACGTAAATAAACGTTGCACACTGTTTGTGTCGAGTTTGAAACCAATACACAAAAGAAAGGAAATTGTGCACCTCGCTTGTACTTAAAACATTTGCAGGATGGATGCAAAGTTGTCAATTTTTTGGTGTAGCAGCCACAGGGACTTTTCCTAATGTATTCCACAAGATGTAATCCCCAGAGTGGACCTGTAATAAAACAAAGAGATTCACTATTCGCTCCAAGAAGGGACCCCACACCATTACTTATCAAACCCAAATCCCTAGGATGTCGAACGGGAGGATATATTTGCACAAACTAGTAAGCGTTCGAGTCCGTGGAGTCAAATTCCTTTCGTGATTGGGTTCTTTGTGGGCACTGGACTCTTAAGCCAACCACCTACTGTGCCGTAGTATACCTGACTTGCCTTTCGGTTTTTTTTTTTGCACAAATTAGTAGTAAAACCCCATCCCAGGGGGTTGACCTACAAATGGTAGCTATAGATTTGTTGGAAAATCCTATTTTCATATTCAACCATCAAATAAGGAGAAGGGATGCCCATAGGTTTCACACTATATTTAAGTGCATTGATCTTAATGATGGTTCGAAAGGGCAGTCTTAAAATGAGCTGGGAGAGGTATTAGTCCGCGTAAAAGTGAAAAAAATGGCATATTATACTCTTCACAATACAGAACCATAAAAATAAAAAAGATTTAGATTGGGTAAAAGAAATCACCTGGGTTGAAAACTCCACAGGTACCTTGGCAGATGGAAAGATGTTTACCTGCATATCAAACAGTTCACAAACTCCGTTATGTCTCAAGAATAAGATGCAAGATAAACTGAGAAAACCATTTATGGAATTTGTATACACTAATGCAGACCATAATGAAAGAACAACCCCCTTAGATCACCACCAAACTATATAGTAACATGTTGAAGTTATACAAAATGAGGAGTAGACTTACAGATTTAGAATCTATTGTCATTCCCGATAGAGATGTACCGCCCATCTTGAAAGATACCTGTGACAATTTGGTACACTTAGTTTTATGTAGTAGGCTAACATAACATGCTTCAATATATTAAAGACAGATTTGAGTGGAATGTGAACAAACACAGGTACTGCCATTACTAAGCATGAACAGTCAACCATAAGTCTAATGCACAGGGCAAAGCTCAGGAAGGAACTGCATTTTTATTTAAGTAAAAGTCCATTTAGACTTTAATTGCCTTTTCTTTGCAATAGCACCACCAATCAACAGCATATATAACAAGCCTGTTTATTCTAATATAATCTGCAACTTCAAATGATGATTAATACCACAATTGACACCGCATTTGAACCTCCATGACCACAAGGGTCTCATTGTTTTAGCAAAAGTCTTCTTTGGACTTTTCCAATTCTTTTTCTTTTTCACCAGGTTATTCAAATAAGCCGTGTTTTCTGTGGTTTTTACTCTCTTTCAAACAGTAGACTTTTCCACCATTTTTTGCTTATGCTAGATGTGGAGTTCGCTTCTGATAGATCTCGTCCAGTCTCCCTCCGCACCCGTTCGCCACTTTGTTCTCAACTATTCTCACCTCCTGGGCGAAGGTAAATAGACTGCACCGGCTTGACTTAAAGTGATCATTATGCATCATAAGTCTGGTCGCTCGGGCTTTGTACCTTTTGATTATGGTATGGTATGGTATTGTCAGATCCGAACATAGGGCTACTTTATTTGTTGGCAGACTGCAGATCAAAAGAGAAGCAGAACCGCGAACTTACTATAGGGTTTTCTATAACCTAAGACCCCCGTAATTTGAGTGAGATTGTCATGGCGCAAAAGCAGATATGGCCCGTCACTCGGCTCCTCAGCTGACTTCGGCTGCAAAGAATTTCTCCTTAGTTTAGCCCTCACTGGTGAGAATTAGCTCTCTCTACTGATAAAAGAATGGTAAGCGCTACGAACCCTTGCCCAGTTAATCCGAGTAAGGTTTAAGCGCATGGACAAACCTCGACTGGGCCAGCATTGATAAAAAGTGCCATCTATAGGCAAAGGGAAGGGGGTGCTTGAAAAGGCTTTCCTGCCTGGCAAAGTACGGGGGAGAACAATGTCGGGGACAGGGGGAGAACCTTCCGAGAAAGCCAACAATTCTATCCGGATCTTTATTCCGAATATCTTAGATCGAACATCACAAGCCTTATCACCAGAAACCTTCGATCGGAATACGGATGAGATCAAATATTAGTGATTTCTCTTTCAAAATAACCACCTGCAGGAGGTCAAGGAACTCCTTGTAACGGGTCTATCTTTAAACCATGTTGACGTATCAACGCCTATATCAAAAGATTTCTTTTATGGCAGAGATCTCTCCACACCAGAAATCACTCGCTTGAGAGCTTCAGGCTAGGTTATGGACGAGAGGCTAGGTACGATTTTTTAGATGACATCTTGATTTACAGTGACAGCCTAGATAGCCACTTATGGGCGACTCTTGGTTCTTGAGCATGTTGGGGGATTAGACGGATAGATGACCGAGAGTCACGGGATTTTGTCCTTGTCACTCGTCCCTCTTTTAAGTTTACGAAATGCTAACAGAAGAGCGGATCCTATATCAAGACGACTTCTTGCTTGCTGTCTACTTCGCGAACCTTCACTGCCCCGTTCTGAAACTTACCTTCTTTCACTCGGAGCTCTTGCTTGAATGCCAATAAAAGGCATAAGCACAGCAACTGTACTTCTTTTCTACCGGTTGTGACAAAGTCACGTACGACGAAGAAAAAGTTGTTAAAGGCTCAAGGCGCACTTCGGTGCAAAAGGGTCCCTGGGCCTAGGTGCAAGGCGCGGGCCTCAGAAATGGTGAGGTGCGTCTTATCAAAATATATATTTATATGCATACACACAGTTACACACAACTCAAAGATGCAGCAAGTACAAGCCTCCAATGCAGCAACCAGCAGTACTTTAATTAATAGAGGCAGAAGGGAGAAGGGTTTAAAACGTGAGCCGTGAGGGAGAGGTTTTAAGGTCTAGGTATTTATAAAGGAGGCTTGAAGTTCTAAGGACTGGATATTAATATTAGGGTTTGACTTATGTCATCTATTTATTCGCTCTTTTTCTTAAGAAGTATTGGAGATGAGAAGATGAGAAAACTTATTTAATATTAGGGTATGACTAGGTATTTAATAACTCCTTATGAGGCGTGCCAAGGCCCACAAGGCGCCTCAGCCAAGGCGCAGAGCCTTAGCAAGCCTCGTGAATTACGCCTCGCCTCGACTTTAAAAAAGCCAAGACCTTGAGCCTTATGATCCTCAGAGCCTAGGCACGCTTGAGGCACACTTTCAACAACTATGCATGCACACACACATTAAGGAAAATGTAGAAACTACTGTTGAGTTGTAATATTAAAATTGAAGCTAGATCCATATCACAACTAGATGACTGGTGTAACAAAATAAAATAATTCTTAACATGGGTAGAATCAAAAAAGAAGATAAATAACATACCTTTGCATAGTTGTATGCCTGCCAGCAAAATGGCTCTTCTAAATCAACTGCTGGAAGATCCTTGTTCATTTTCTCCATCAAATATTCCTCTACATTAACCATATTATTTGCTGACTCCATTTCCGTATCACTGTCTTCCTCAGCTATAATCCCTTGGAGAGACCCAGATGTGGCTGGCCTTTGAGTTTTCCATGGAGCGAACTTCACAGTTCCAGGGAAAGTTGCTTCAATACTCTTTGCACCAACCCCACGACCGCTCGTTATAATTTTCCATTCAACAGAGTGGTCGGTATGGGAAACAGTTCCAATAGAAGGCGTCCCCTCAAACGCTAATACCTTTCTTCTGGGGAATGGCATAGTTACCGTACAAAATTCCATTGTTAATGGGGACTTATAACCCTCCATCAAAGACAATTTGAATAAGAAGGCGCCTTCATTTTCCGAGACCATGGAAAGCTGGTAAAATCCCTTAATTGGAATTCCTAACGAGCAATATGCTTGATAGCGTAATAATACAAAATTACCAAGTGGTGGTGAAAACATCACAGACTGCTTATCCCCACCTTGTTGTTCAGGAACTTGAGCACAAGGATGAAACGACAATATCTCAACCTGTTTACTATTTAATCCCTTCAGCGGAAACAGGACATCAGGAAGTCCGTCTAATTCTGCACGACAGTTCACTTGCCCAGATATTGATAAGCTGTCGGGAATCTCATCTCGGTCATACATTGTTGCGTTGACGATCTCGTGGATTGTGAATAGCAGCCTCTGTTTTCCTTTGAAGAGATATGGTTTCCAAGCTGGTTGCTTGCTGTCTACAGGTGGCACATCAGCTGATGAGAAGCCACTGGTCCTAATAGCAGAAATATTGGAGTAGCTGATGTCCAAGGGTGTACCTATACCAAATCAAGTAGCATATGTAACTAAATAATAGTCAACCTGGTCACGAGTGGAATAGATGAAATAGAATCTTAAGAAAAATTGGAAAGAAACAAAAAAAAAAAAAATGATTTGAACTTAAGTAACTAAATTTGGCCATCACTAACATGTTTATTATCTCTCACCTTGGTTATGGTTTTCCAGCACTTGCTATTTATATTGTAGTGACTTACTCATATCTAGATTCTAGTTTCTCAAAATTTAGCATATTTATCTTTCTCTATTTCTATTTGTATTGCTATTGCTTACTCATATCTAACTTTCAATTCTTAGTTTTATCTATTTTTCTCCCTTTCTCACTCTCTTCACCAGCCAGGGGTCTTCACGAGAACATCTACAATACTCTTTAGGGTAGAGGTCAGGTTTGCATACATCCCCCCCCCCCAAAGGGCGGGATATACTGGGCCCATTTGGTTTGGTTATACTAGGTGCAGAAAGGGAAAAAGAATGAGGCACCAAATTGATGGTGCAAAGCAGGCAATTACGATAGTTGGTCCATTAAAAATGGCTGCATTCTCCCAATCTTCAGCTTCATGCAACTTCAATTTACATATAAGCTGGTATTCACAAAATACAACAGTCATAAATTCTTTTAGGGGTTTTCCTTTAGCATTTGGAAGAGGAGTATACGAAAGCCAAGGCATTAAAAGGACAATGAAAACAAGAATGAAGTAATTACAACCTTTTTTCCAGAAAATGTTGAGGTTTTTTTTTTTTTTTTTTGCTAACTTCAAAGTTCAAACAATTCAGGATGTCTTCCAAGTTTAAAACAGTTGCAACTAAAAACAAAAAATTATAGCTAAATGTAGCAAGACTGAAAATTTATATAGGAGCCATGTGTTAAGCAGCTTAAGAAATGACATGTATTGCTATTAATCCGCAAGAAGACTTAGGCAGAGAGCATGAAAAAATGAGAAGATCTGGAGTGGAAAGGTATTATGGTTTCAAGAAAATTATATACTTTTTGAGTAACAGGCGCATTTATTCTATTCTAAATTTGTAATTATATTTTCATCCTTGAGAATGAAGTTGTTTTCTAGTCCAAAGAATAATGTGTCTTGTTATTCTATCACTAGAGGGGTAAATAGTAGGAAGCATACAAAGACACAAAACATACATATTTGAGATATAAATTCAAAAAATAGAAACTAAAAGTTACGAACCGAATGGCATTGCAGTACTGATGAAACTTCGAAGTGCATCTTTTTCCGGGTTCCTGGGACCAATTTTTGGAGAGTCTAATGAGCCAGAACTACCGGCAACGGTGCTGGAATTAGTGGAGGCTGCAACTGGTGCTGCCACAGGTTTTGGTCTAGCAGAAATGCCGATACTTCCAGTTAAGGAATCCAATAACCCTCCGACAGAAGGTGCTGCGCTTACAACTACTTCAGGTTCTGGGATATCTGACGTAATTATGTCACCTAAAACATGGGCCACCATGAATGCCCTGTAAAGAAAAATCAAACTTTTTATAATGTCAATGTAGAAAAGAACATTACTAGGTGACATATACTCAAGACTAGGCCTGAACCATCTGCATATTGGATACTGCATACTGATAATTAACATAATGATATCAAATATAAAAAACCAAACCTCCTAGTCCATAAGCACCACCAAGGTCCCATCTAAATTTAACTCCAAACAAGTGCAATTATAACTTGTCAGGGTCTCAGGGAGGTAAATGTGATGCCTTCGGAAAAAAAGAATACTATCTAACATTGAAAAAGACAACTGTTGCACTCAACTGAAAAATGCGTCTAAATGTATGCATGGCTCTAACATTGATATCGTGGCTTTAAAACGGGCTTTAAGCACCATTTTCTTTTAGATATGAAGTGACACAAATCAGAGATTTCATTATAATAACATATCTGGTATAAACATAAGTAGTGGTTAATTACTCCTCATAATCCACACATCCAGGTTACGCAAGGGCCTTTCCTGGTAAACTGGGTGTAACTTTGAATTGCTTAGACTCTCCCAAGACACTGGGAGGTAGCTGTCTTCTGCATGTTTATATAAGAGCTGTCAAGTACAACTTTTTGTTCAGAGATATTGTTATTGTGTGTTATATATCACACAAGTCACAACACCACCTTAGCAAAATAATTAAATAAAACCTATCTATGGGTCTGCAGTAGAGTACATGCCACCGAAAAAGATTGTGGAAAAGGGTATTTTAATAAGATGATGAAATTGTAACTGATGCTTGGGACAAAGGATTCTATCAATTCGAATCGAGTACTAATAAATTTCAAGATAAATCCAGTATACAACAAAGCATAAATTCAAAAGCAGTACTCATGATGCAGGGCATCACAAGAGATTTGATTTATTGAAACCAAAATGCAGTGAGGTAAATAACATTTAGTTTTATCAAGATAATAGTAGTTAATTTTTTTAGAGGTTGTGAGCCAGCGACCATATATGAAATAGTTAGTGGACAAAGCAATGCCAAATACACTTGGCTAGAAGGTCATCTACAATTTAAATTTGCAACTTACCATACCCTGTGATGCATGGAAGTTGAAGCAAGAGGGAAGACAAACTGCCATCAACTCCAACGGCATTGCCACAATCAGGCCTCCTGCATATTATGCTGTATGCTTTAAAATGAACAGGTTCAACGAAGGGCAGTACAAGGATGTAGTATTGGCCCTTGGTGTGCAAAACGAATGGCCAAAATGTATGATCTTCCCCATCTTCCTCTTTCTTGACATGGAGACTTACAATATGACGCATGATTGGATCATCAACCCATGAATCTGATCCTTGAATTGACTGTTTGACCCGTATTCCATACCCATGTGCAGACCCTTCCCTGCATTATGTAGCTAAATTGGTTACCCTGCCAAAATGGACGGTTTACACATATACATATAACAAGTATATGAACAATTTACCAAGTAACGTAAGGAAGTATGCAGATAGGAGGGAACACAAAGGGCGAGAGTGAGGTAGGTGCATGAAAGAATTGCAAGGTTTTAGGGTTTTAACTTGACATGGGTAGTTTAGTAATTTACCAATCTCGTCTCATCTCCCTGATTTCTATTCCACCTATTTTGGTGGGATAAAAACAAAGGCATTTTTGTCCCACTAGGTCTTGTCATGTCCCAGTCTTAATGTCGCACCAAACGTTGGACAACAAGTTTTGGTCTTGTCCTGTCCCACATACCAAATGCACCCTAAATAAAGGCATTTTACACATCTATCTATGATTACTTCCGTATAAAAATTTACATGATCTATGTATTGTGGGATCTCCATCAGAGCATCTAAAACTCAGATAAGAAAAGATGCAGAATCAAAAGTTTATATTTAGGAGTATTAAGTCAAGAGGTTTCATATCACCAGTCACATAAGAATTTTTTTGACCCACTTAATCTTTACATTCTTTTCACTCATTTTTGTGGCCCTGGAACTCTTTTGGAGTACAGTATGCGGCCTCACTTAATGGGATCTCTAAGGTTAATATGAGTGTGAAGCAATCAAGCAACCACAATATATGAGCAAGTTGATTAAGACAGAAGAACAATAAGTTGGCAAATAAACTACAAGCATCCTTCCATTCTTATCCCCTTTAATAAATCATCAACAGTTAAATTGATTATCATATCACTACTAATGACTGCCATGCCTACCTCTCCAAACAAGTTATACCTGCTTCACAAGATCCAAATTTGATCTATTTAAAATCAATCTATTTTCCACCAACAGTTAATTTTAAGTATATACTCTATCCACTCGAAGCTACAGACTGTTCTGCATTCAAACCATAATCTGGGCTTACTACAAATTTAACACCAAGGGTTTTGGTATTTCTCTAATAATTGTTATCAAATTAAACAGGTAAAGCTTTTTTTCTCAAAGAAAGGAGAACAAAATTACTTTAATAGGCGCACAAAAACACAAGCGTAAGAATGCCAAGATAGATAATAAACTACTACCGTCATAAACCCTGAATATGTGAAATATGTAATCAAATTCATATCAATTTTTGCCTCAAACAAATAATAAATTCCATATTATCAAAACCTCTTCTTCCGGTCCGCAAACGCAGCAGCTAGTTCCAAATCCGTGGGAAGAGAAGAAAACAACACACTAGAATCTTGATTATCTGTAGACTTCTCATTTGCTTTCTTACAAGCAACACTCCAACGTCTCTCGACCACCGAAAACCTCCTGCCCAGTTCCAACAAATAAAATAAAAATTATGATCATTAAGTTCATGTAATCAAACTTGGAAATTCAACAAGGAGTTGGGTAAACGAACAAATTGGATCTGTTATGAGTAAAAGAGACATGAAACCCTAGTAATCCATTAATGGAGTGACAGAAATTACCGAGAGAAGACGACGGTATCTTGATTGTTAAGGATCCATAGAGCTCGGATGCTGCAACTACTGGGCATTGCTGATTTCTGGTGGTGTTTGAAATATTCTGGAAAGGTTCTGCAGCCAAATTTGGGTTGGGGGATCGTTCCACAGGTTTCATTTAGAATGTTCAGTTTGACGTCAAAAATTACCCCTGTACTATTATCTATCGACATTATTAGTCCTCTAAGAAAACATTTGAATGTGTTTATTGTTCATATATTATCAATGTTGACATTGTTTGAATTAAATGGTCGTTTATCACATGCTTAAAGGGTAAGTTTTAACCAAGCAAGCATTTCTCGGCAAGTCACCACCCTCAAATATATACCTTATCAAGTAACATTCTCGGCCATGAATATGGATCGTTGGTAAGCGTTTTTCACCCGGTAAATGTTTACAAGATAATGGTCTTTTCTCTTACTTACTGAGTAAGATATGTGATAATTTGGTTATTCGGTTACAATAATTGGGGTTGTTTTTTAAAGGTGATGGTAAATGGAGGGGTTTAATGTGTCAATATGCTTAAAATGTTTTAAACTCCCACCACCTTATATTTGTTAATTCATGTTAAATGTGAGTTTTGTTTTACCTCATTCGGAAGGTAAAAACTTAAAAGGAAGAAAGTGGTAAATTGAGGGGATTAAATGTGTTTATTTGCTTTAATAGTTTAAAAAAACAATCCCACCACGCCTTTTATTTGTTTATGGGTGGATATATGAGATGTTAACCTTATCTCATTGATTTTGATGGAGAAAAATATAAGAGAGCTTTTCTCTCTGTGCGTGCGTTCGTGCATGCGGTGTGTGTGTGTGTGTGTTCTTTTGTGTGCGAAGCAAACAGAACTAAAAAGGGAAGAATTAGAAGTTGATCTCTGTGATTCTTACCTGAATCTTTGTTGTTGTTATCTGCTTCTCTATGAATCAAGGTGGGTTTAATTGTTATTAATTTTTCTTATTTGGAAACTGGGTATAAAACTTTATGGTTCTTTATATGAGATTTTGTTATAGAACTGTTTTGATGCCATTATTGACAAAATTGTGGGTTTTTGTTATGATTTCATCTTGTGTGTAAATAAGAGTGACATATCAATAAGAGGTGTATATTGGGATAAACATCGTATATCAAGGAGAGATGTATACCAGGGTAGTATCATTTTTCCTCTTTATGTTAGGCCTTTTAAGGTCTTTTTAAATATGTAAGTATCCTCCCTTGCTTGTCTTTAAATGCCCTCCTTTCCTTAAGGCTACTTCAGGGAGTTCCTCCAAACCAAATCCTACGACTAGGGACTTTCGTCTTTACTAAAAGCGTTCTATGAAGTCTCAATCTCTCTTACTTTAGGGAGGCCCTYCTATCAAGAACCTATGGTTTTATTTCATTTGATCATTCTAGCGTTCACGGCTAGTCTAAAAGAAAGTCAATATACAGACACATTTTCTTTACAACAGAGCAGCTAAACGTAAACAAGATCTATTTCTTAGGTCGGTGTCAACCCGCGGCGTATATAAAGAAGACCCACGCCACGATTCGACCTCTAACTTTAGAATGGATATTTTTTGGGTGTTTAAAGTATCGTTCACCTTATTTTGTGTTTTGTGCACAATGCCCCCTTTGCTTTGCTTGAGTTGAAAAAACCTCTGACCCGCATCCAGATCCCAGGATTCGCTTTCTTCTTTGATTCCGCTTTCTCCGCTCGGTCATACACTTAAAAAAATGAGTTCACCAGCAAAAGATGATTTAAGATTACTTACGGGCTGCTTATCGATTAAGAAAATGAATGAGGGATTGGGCTGCAACCCCTTTTTATACGCTCTTTTTAATTAACAAGTAGAACTACGACAAGGAAAAAGTACTAACTCTTCTTCTTTCAATATATTGCCTATATAGAGATAGTCAGTCTTGACTTATTTATCTCAAGCAATGTCCAAAGAGTCCCATGCCTTTCTTGCCAACTGGCGATTTCCAACAAGTCTTTCCTAATTTTTAGAGGAAGAAGCGGAAATACAATAAAGCTTTCTTTATCTTTATGAATAACCAATTCATTTTCAAATATAATTGGCAGACTTTACCCAAGAAATGGGTAAAAAATGGAAAGATTGGAACATGGGAATGCCTTTGAAATCATGAAATTGTGAAATTTGGATTTTGATCACATTCATATTTATCGCATCCTATTAATGTGATGAAGTGAACACTTATTATAAGACCAAAAGGCCTTGCCTCTGGTTGGTAAGACCAGAGGGGCTCTGGTTGGTCTTGCCTCGAGGCTATGATGCGACAAGTTGTGTAAATTTCTATATGATGCGAGAAGTTTTACACATGAAGTGTTTTTCAAATTACTGGGCATTTGGATGCAATAAATGAGGTTTGTATATCAAAATGATATATATTTGTTATTTTTACAAATATGAGTTTGTAAATATGATTTGGTGATTTTCACCCTGTAATTACATCAAAGAGATTTTTCACTAGACTTCAAGGTCTAACCCTTATTTAGTATTTTAAAAATGTACGTTACAATACGAGCATAATCTGAGGTTAAGGGGAAAGGGAAACTTAGAAGTTTTATATGCTTACAAGGGATATAGAGGATATCATGTCCATATGTTGTTTTTTGATACTTGTTATGTATAGGGATTTTATGGAAAAAGTTGATTAGCTATTTTGTAATATAGCTTTTATAAGAGTTTAGGACCGAATGTATAAATTATATTTTTGATAAATGGAAATATATAACATATGCAAAAATGTGATCTTGGGGGTGCTATAATTTTCGGTCATTGTCATGCTCACTCGGTAAGGTTAGCATGCTTACCCAGAAAGCGTTTGGTAAACGGCTCCTTATCGGGTAAGATTTTCGGTCTTTGTCATACTCACCCGGTAAAGTAAGCATGCTTACCCAAAAAGCGTTTGGTAAACGGCTCCTTACCGAGTAATATTTTCGATCCTTGTCATTCTCACCCAGTAAAGTAAGCATACTTACCCATAAAGTGTTTGGTAAACGGAACTCCTTATCGGATAAGATTTTCGATCCTTGTCATTATCACCTAGTAAATTAAGTAAGCCTGCTTACCCATAAAAGCATTTGGTAAGTGGCTCAATACCGCGTAAGATTTTCAGTCCTTTTCATTTTTAAAAGGAAATTATTTAAATCAACGAGTTCTTTTAAACCTTTTAGATTCAATACCGTGAAATTTAACCATAAGGACACTGTTTGATTGGTTTGAGCTTGGCTCCAAAGGTCAAAAGTACCAAGAGGTCTCAGGTTTAAATCCAAGTAGGAATCAAAATCCCCTTGTGGTCACGGAGGTTTAAATGCGGTGACTCTGGGCTATCTGCAAAGCAGGTGGTCGCCTTGGGATTAGTCGGCTCGCATAGCGGGTTGGATATCCAGGTTAATAAAAAAAATACCGTGAAATTTGACAACAGAAAAATATGTCATGTCATAATTGTTAATAACATGCATAACTTAAGACTAGTTGTGTACCCGTGTAATGTGACGAGAGCCGTGGATTTTAACGATTTTGAAGTTTCATTGGTTTTATTAGAGAATATTTAATGATGATATAAGTTACGCTTGATCTTTATATATTAATACAATTTGAATAAATAAGAGTTATGGTTCCAATTACAGTCTATCGATGAAAAAAAATTGTATGACAGTTTAAAATCCAATATATTTAAAATCCAACATATTTAAACGACTCCACAAATGTGTTCGATTTACACCAAGAACAAAAAATCAAGAGATCGAGAGCAAGACCGAGAGTTCTAGAGCAATTAAATGTTAGATGAATGAGAGAACTTTTAATAACTCATGGTGAATATCAGTTTGAATCTCACCTTGGAGGATGAGAAGAAGACATAAAGGTATGAGAGGGTGAAGACATGAGTGAAATGTGTCAAAAGTATCTTGGGAACATGAAAAGAAAATGTCATTACGTGCATTGATAACTTGTGCTACATGTTATTTTAATTGTAGATTAAAAGATTTTAAGACTGAATGCATAAAGTAGTAGTACTTAATGCATTATGAGCTGTTTTTAAGACTTCGTACATAAATGTATAGTACTTTGTGCATTAAAAATTGTTTTTAAGACTTTTGATAAATCTGGTTTGTAAGGTAGTATAGATTATGTCATCGATTTTATAGAATTTGATGAAGGATCAAGATTTGATTTTGCACAAAATCCATATTCTTTTCCTTTGTGCAAGTCAATGTTTTTTTGGCCTACTTACTCAACCAAAGAATGTTCTTTCTCTCCCCACAACACCATCTTGCCCATCAAAATTCAACTATAAAAACCAATTTTGGCCAATGGTTATTTTATCGTTATCGTAAAGACCGAGTTAATTTCAGCATTACCTTCAAACCAGTAAGATTAACCCGAGAGGTTATAATACAGGTCAGATTAGTTTCAGTGTTATCCCGAAACTATAAAATCAACCCGAGTGGTTTTTTGTTCTCGTGATATATCTTCGCTTTGGTAAATTTTTGCAGAGTTGAAGTGTTTCATGGATTTGAGAGTAGCAGATAGTTTGGTCGATGCATTGAAGCAAAGTCGGTACCATGCAAAGAGATGTTTTGAGCGGTACGTATTTTTTGGTGTCAAACCAGTTTCTTTTCAAGAAACGAACGTATAACAGTTTGGGTAGAAAAAATGGAACAAACATCCAAATCTTTTTATGGGTACCGTCAAGAATTATGATACATGCATTTATGAGCAAAATTTAATCCTTTTCAGATACAATTCTTTTTTGTTTTCTCTAATAAAATTATAATTTTAGAATTGTGAATGTTTTTTTTTTCTTCGTATTATTGACTGCCAATTTCTTTTCGTAAGGTTTACTGCTCATGGACAAAGACTAGTGAAACCACAGGAATTGATCTATGCAATCGAAAAAACGATAGATGACAAGCAAGAAAGGACAAAGGTTTTAGAGGGTTCACTGGGGCAAACATTGAGTTCGACACAGGTTATTTTCTTCTATTCATCTGATAAAACATTATGACATATTAAAAACACGTAAAAAATCAAATTGATATTTTACAAAAAATAAAATCAATTTAAATCATGAATTAAACCAATAAATAGTATCGCCCTTCTTTAGTACGAATTACATAAAATTAAACTATTTTTCATTTTTAATAATCTATAGTTTTAAAAATATATAGGAGGCAGTGGTGATTCCACCGTACGTTATATTAGGGGTAAGGGGAAGTCCAGGACGACGGGAGTATCTACAGGTGAATGTCGACGATCTTTCAGTTCAACCGATTACACCTCCACAGTATTTGAAATTCAAAGAATCCCTCTACGATAACGAGTGGTACGACGTCGTTTTCATTATCATCCATCCTCATATGCCCATTGCTTGTCTAATTAAAAATAAAAACAAATTTTTTTTACTTTTTTATGTTTAAAAAAACGAAATAATACAATTATGACGTAAGTAAATGTTCTTTTTGAAAAAATTGTTTGATGGTAATTACATATTTGTTAAAAAATAATTAAAACATTAATGGAAAATGTTTATTCAATTGAATCTAATATATACATGGGAAAAGTCTTAAAAAACCCCAATGGACTTGGACATTCCAAAACAACTCTTTGGATTTTCTAAGTCTTTGAACATTCCAAAACCTGTTAAACAACTCCTTGAACTTTCTAAAACCTATTAGATACATTTTTATGACCTATAAAACTAATTAACGTAGTAAAATAATGAAAAAAACATGAAAAAAATGTCAATGACCATTCATATTTTGAGCGATAAAGTCCCTAAACATTTTTTGAACCAAAAAATTACTTGCATTATATAAAATAAAACAAATATACCAAAAAAATATTTACATTTAAAAAAGATTATTGATGAAATTTATTTTGATTAAAAATAAAAGATATTATATCAATGATTTTTTAAATTAAAAAAA